TAAGTGATCCAATTTAGGAAATTCTTTAAGTATTCAAATAATTATCGTATTTTTCCAAATGTCATTGCCTTGCAAATGCTCTCATGTTGAGCCCTTTTTCAAGTAAATTTTGTTTGCTTGGGAACACGAATTTCAATACGATACGATACCATATCGATACTTTTGCCATTCGATACCGACACTTTTTACTCGATGGTTTTAAACGATATTTTTTGGGATCGAGTACCAGAACTCTTGTATCGTATCGAATCTTAAGGGTCGGTTGTTCAATGTCTTGTTAACACAAATCGAAGGTAGAAGCTCCGGTTAAATACAACGACTGCTTTATCGATAACATGTTATATTCATGATGTGGAAAACGTCGAAAAAGATGTTTTACTGGAAGGTAGTGATGACAAGAAATTGAATAACCGGTCGAGCTGGAAAACTATCGATGGTTGTGGTCAATATTCAGAATACATTTTTTTTGGAGTATGGTCGTAGCCATTGATAGTTTCGATAGTCGCAGCCTTCGATAGTATCGATACTATCGAGCATGTCGGCACTATCGAAAGTGCTATCGATAGTTTTGATTAAAAAATTGCAAAAATTAGACCTAAAAACTTTGATGGGAAATGAGATCGGAATTGCTAAAATGTTTCAATATTTTTGTTAAGGGAAATAAGTTTATTAACGATTTTTGGCTTCAAGCAGCAGCTGCGCTCTAAACTTATTTGATCTGCTTTGCTAAATGTTCCTTCCGACTCACAAAATGACGACCGACCGACGGCTTTTACTCTTACTGAATAATATATGTATAAGTGAAAACTATCGATAGTGCTTACAAAACCATGTTTTCGATAGTCAAAAACCATCGATACTATCGATAGTGCCATCGATAGATTTCCGGCCCTAAGTGTACATTACAAAGTTAATGTGATTAATAATATATTCTATTAAAAATTGTTGAATTCGTTTTGATGTTCTTAGGGTTAAGTACCCAGTATAAATGCCCATATATAATCTTGCTGACGTGATATACCTACGAAAAAATATTGAACAGGGCTTTCTATATTTACATAATAATTAAGTGGCTCTTTATTCAGTTACAAAAATTACAACAATTGACAGTAAAGATTCAAAGACATAACTGAACATATGCACTGGCGTGACGTTACAAAAACAGAACTGGATTGCAAAATTACAAAACTCTGCGAATTGGACGAGAATATTTGCATAAATTTTTTTGTAATATTTGAAATATTTAAGGTTAATTTTCCAAATTCTTAATGTATAAATCGAAGTATCTGACGTGACGTTATAAAAAGTTACCATCCTAAATTCTCCATTGAACCTTGTTTTATTAATATTGTTTTTAAACCAATTTTAAAACGAGACCAATATTCAGAATTAATTTTTTTGATTTTGGTTTCGATATTTGGAATATCGAGTATTTTTATCCCAATTTTAATGGGTACCCGATATTTTTACAGCGATATTTTAAATGAGTACCATATCTATACTTTCGGTTCGATGTCGTGTCCCTATGTTTTCTATTAAAGTGACAAGTAGGTGCGGCCGTAAGGGAAAGCCACTGAGTATATTTCTGCCAGGAAAAAGCTTCTCATAAAATCCATTCACCGTTTGGAGGCGGCGTATAACTGTAGGTCCTTCCATTTATGTAAGAACATTAAGACGCACACCACACTTAGTAGACTTACTTTTAACCGCCAAAATATCATAAAGGATGCCCTAAACACCCCTTCTAAAATGGAGGAAATGTTTTTTATTGAATAACATAAAAATATTACTTACCAAATCGGAGATGATTTATCTTTTGGTGGACTGCCGGTTTTAACCGGAAGTATGTTAAAATGACCGGAAGTCCATTTTTTTTTTTTTGTTTAATTAGGCATATATGTTTTTACTAGGATGCGAAAGTAAACAGTACAAAACATTTCCCATCATCATAGCTATCATTTGTGGTTTTGTACAGTTTTGTAGTTAGCCAGAAAGAAATTGAATGATCCATCGTCATTTTCCCGGACAAGAAACGTTTACTTTTCGTTTGTGACAATTGTACCATCGAGTACATTATATATGTATGCAAACATTTCAATGACGTGAAAAATATTTTTTCTTTTCATATTAAATTCAAATAAAAAAAAA